GTCAACCCGACAAAAACAGAGATAATCCTATTCACCAACCGAAGGAAAAAGGACGGGTTCAAACAACCTCCTCACGTTTGGCCAAGAGTAGTGAGCCTCGAACATCTCATTTCACGCTGTTTTTATAGTGTGGACACACTGGTTATGTTGTTGAAGAGCTGAACAAAAATCATTGGAGAAAAATGTTTCATAAGAGATGGAATGTCTTTTTGCAGATATATTATTATTTGAAACCCTAACAGTGGCGTAACAGAAGGCACATGAAGCTCATTTTGTAGATGTATATTATGAAGTTATTATTGGAATTTGAAGCTTTAACAAACACTTGAAATGTCTTCTCGTCTTCGGGCAACTCAAATATATTTGGTAGCAATCATTCTTATAATTTTTGCAATTCGTTACCAAACTGAAGTTTCGAATCTGAGGATGATGACAATTCGAAAATGTCAGTGGTGACAAGCGTGTCCACACTATTTGGAGGGCGTTCAATGAGATGTTCGAGGTACTATCTAGCTAAGAGTTGGAGTAAGTCCAACCAGGTCAACAGGTCGAGTATCTGGGTATTGTCTTGCACCCCAGATTTCCATGGAGACCGCACGTAAATGGGATTGTACAAAAGTCGGTAGCAATCCTTTAGCAATTGGGAAGGGGCGTTGAGGAAACTTGGAGTATCAACCCCGAGATTACGCGATAGCTATACACAGCAGTTGTAGGACCAAAGATTCAGTACGGATCAGCAGGGTGGTGGCCAGGCGCAACAGACAGCACAATTAGTCGAAAGCTGGGTAGACTTCAGAGGATGGCCTTCCTGCCAATTACAGGAGTAATGAGAACAACGCCAACTACAGCGCTGGAGGTACCGCTGGGGCTGCTGCCACGTCCAATCTAGATTGGGGGTGGACGAAGGTCACGCGCTTAGCAGGCCACGCAGAAATTGAGTGGAGCAGAACATTTCATTTTCCACACTGAGGGTGAAGAATGCTCAAACATCATTATCATATACACCCTCAACATCAATCACCTGTCTCTTTTTCATACTTGAGATCAATCAATCAATCAATCAATCAATCAATCAATCAATCAATCAATCAATCAATCAATCAATCAATCAATCAATCAATCAATCAATCAATCAATCAATCAATCAATCAATCAATCAATCAATCAATCAATCAATCAATCAATCAATCAATCAATCAATCAATCAATCAATCAATCAATCAATCAATCAATCAATCAATCAATCAATCAATCAATCAATCAATCAATCAATCAATCAATCAATCAATCAATCAATCAATCAATCAATCAATCAATCAATCAATCAATCAATCAATCAATCAATCAATCAATCAATCAATCAATCAATCAATCAATCAATCAATCAATCAATCAATCAATCAATCAATCAATCAATCAATCAATCAATCAATCAATCAATCAATCAATCAATCAATCAATCAATCAATCAATCAATCAATCAATCAATCAATCAATCAATCAATCAATCAATCAATCAATCAATCAATCAATGAATCAATCAATCAATCAATCAATCAATCAATCAATCAATCAATGAATCAATCAATCAATCAATCAATCAATCAATCAATCAATCAATCAATCAATCAATCAATCAATCAATCAATCAATCAATCAATCAATCAATCAATCAATCAATCAATCAATCAATCAATTTATCGTTTCTTAAGAACATTACAGTTTCATAAACAAGGAGTTTATGTTGTATCAAAGTGGGAGAAATTCAGTCATCACCACAATAGTTCATAAAATGTACGAAAATGGTGGATCACGAGAGCAAAATAACTACTTTTCTGGCTATATGTCACGGAGAACATCGCATTACATCCTCCCGAAATCTATGCAACGATTCGTATAGACGAATGCAGTTGCAAGGGTCTCTTTCCTGAATGCTGAGTTGTGCTCAAATTAGGCTTATTCGTGTTCAAAATTGTAGTAACTTTCTTCTAACTGCGCAGAATCAGGTGCGCATCAAATTCAATCCTGAACAAGTCTGGGAAAGTTTTGGAACCTGATAAACGAAAACGCTGTTTTCCGTTTTCTCATCTTCTTTCTCGAAAATATACTGTGTCGTGACTGCATCGAAAGGCATATTTGGGTTAGGGTTATGTTCATGTTAACATAAAATAATCATGAAATTCCGGACCTGAATCACATCTCCAAAGGAATGTATCGAATTACCAGTAACCCTGTTATAAACATATATACTGTTATTGGATTTTGTAGAAACCATTCTACATACCTTCTTATTTTGATTGCATATAATGAGAAATCATAATGATGCTGATGATGTGAGAATTGTTGAGAACTATATTCATAGGTAAATACAAGAATTGCTCTTCTTCAGACATGTAATCTATTTGGACAAAGAATATGAAATATACTATTACAGAACAAACGACTTACCTGAAGGAAGTTCGTTCTGAATTATATGAGAAATTCTGGGTGTGTGAACTTATAATGAATTATTGGAATTCAATTACTTCACTGTGTCGTCAGGAACGTAAATTGATTTCACGATAGTTTATGTGAATAATTATCTATGCGTTGTTCGAAATTGTTGAATTCCAGAGCTCATTTCAAACGAACCTTCACGGCCGCCATTCGGCGATACGTCGAATAAATGCTGTTTCGTTATTGGTCATATATAAGGCCTTTCTTTTGTACACCGCATTTGAGCATTCTTTTGAAGTGTGCATTTCACACCAGTAACTGTGAATTATCTCCACATGGTTTTAGGCAGGTGGGAATACACCCAAATTCAAGAATGAATGAAATCGCGATAATCGACTCGAAAATCCTGTGTGATTATATTCATAATAGATAAACACCTATACTGAAAAACCAGTTACAACAAACACCGCATTCAAGAATTCAAATTGCACTTTCCTCTTCAATTCAGTTTCGTTCGTTCGTTTGAAATGCATTGGTGTAGCTGCACGAAATATCAGCTAATTCATAGTGTAGGGCATTTTACACGACACTGAAATGTAAACGAAAGAAACAATAATTTTCCATTCCCACTCATGAAGCGAGGTTGCCAAGTCACCACTTATAATCAAGTTATCAAAAACATATTAGGTTCATGTTGTTGAATAAAACATAACAGGAGGAACCCATGATATTATAGTTCATTCTTGACGACGACCAGCATGTCCTAATATTTCTCATTCTCCATAACAAAATATCATGTACAGGGTGGCCAACTAAGACTTTAGAGTTCGATTTCTCTGTTGTCTTGAGAGATACAAAAAAAATCATGTATCAAAATTGAAGTTATAACCAAGCTTCACATTTCAAAATTTCTTTGAAATACACAGGGTGTTCCGTAAGGTCACAGCACATCAAAGCTCTGTTTTTTTCATTGGATCACCGTATATTTTATTTCATTTTTGAATTCTCCCTGAAGATCTGATTTCAACGACCCATTATATTCAGGGTTTAGCAGTGAAAGTTACTGACATATAGGGTGTGCAAAATCGAGATTTTTTAAGTTCATGATTTTTTTCTCTCGAAACTGTTCATTATTCGTCAAAACGGTATACATGTCCCTATCTCAACTTTTCACTCACTATCAATTGGTGTTCAATTGAAATTGATACAAGGTGGTCAAAAATTTTGAATTTATAATTTGTTTCAATTAAATGTCAATTGAACACCAATAATTGATTGTGAGTGAAAAGTTGAGATAGGGACATGTAGACTGTCTTGACGAATAATGAACAGTTTCGACAGAAAAAAATCCTGAACTTGGAAAATCTCGATTTTGCACACTCTATATGTCCGTAACTTTCACTACTAGACCCTAAGTATGATACATCGTTGAAATCGGATCTTCAGGGAGAATTCAAAAATGAAATGAAATATAGGGTGTTTCAATGAAAAAAACAAAGCTTTGATGTGCTGTGACCTTACGGAACACCCTGTGTATTTCAAAGAAATTTTGAGATGTGAGGCTCGGTTATCACTTCAATTTGAATGCAAAACTTTTTTTGTATCTCTCAAGACAACAGAGGTATCGAACTCTGGATTCTTAGTCGGCCACCCTGTACATGTTGGAGACTTGGCCACATTGTGCTGAATGCTGAGACCTGACAAGACCACGCCCACAAGTCGTGCGCCGTGTTGTCAAGTTTACCGATTCAAATGTCCTCTAGTGTTAATTAATATAATAATTATTTACACAAATTTATTATAAGCAATAAGCCATAAATCATAAGGAAACATTTTGAAACAATTTAATTCCTGTTGCTAAATAGGAATATTTACCAATACTCAATTGAGAATTCATGAATCATTGAATGATGATATTTCTGAAGTTCCCAGTCGTATTTCAACACATATGGCAACTGTGCTATGGTCTGCCCATATTTACGAAATCGTGTCGTCAGTTTTCAGTGGCGCTAAATTTCTAGCCGTTTGAAAATTACCGTGGCATTATTGATGCATTTAGCACCTGAAAATTGATCGAACAATGCATAAAAAATATTAAATTCAAAGGTATTTGCGGGTGATGATTCTATTTAAGAAATGAAGAAAAATATTAGTCCACTCGCCTAAGCAAAATAATGTTATGAATCATGACCAGCCAGGTGGGTACACGATATACAGGCAGCAGACAAAAAACTCCAGAATAATCTCTGTCCTGACTATCCTTGGAAATGTGCTCGATTAAGGATGATACTAATACTACCAGTGTAATATCTATTTGGACAAGGATACTGATATAATTCAGAATAAACTTCCTTCAGGTAAGTGGTTTGGTCTGTTAAGTAACAGGTAAACAGTCTGAATTTTGATAAAAAATATACTTAGATATCGACGAAATACACGAGCAGATTGTTTTAATCTTTGAAGGCGCGTAGATAGTAGATACTTACTATTTCAATTCAGTGAAATCTTGTTTCCAGTGTACCTTTATCTAATCAGTTTTCAGTAGGTACCACATATGGTATTTTAGGAAACAATGTTGTGGAGTAGCAGAGGAAGTCTGGAGACCATCATTATAACTATTATAAGGATATTTTTCAATCCATCGTTAATAACAGTGTCATAGGATATTGTAAGTGTTAATAGTACTTAGTTCATGTCAGTTGATCCACACTGACTTTTGAAAGTAGGGTACCACAGATTGGATTGCACTTATTATAGATATTGAATTCGGTAAGTTGATGTGGCAATTATCAGCTGAATCAGTAATGTTATAAGATTCGGTGGCATTTTACCATATTCTCATCAGGTTGTTTTCTTGTTTGTCTGTCTATCTGTAAATTTGGAAACTCAAGACAAGTTGGCGGACGAATTGGTCATTTTTTGTTCAATTTATATAAGGATGAAGAGGTATTTTGGGGGATTTTTGATGTCACGAGGAACGGACATTTTCATTCGAATTTCGAAATTCCGAGATAGCTTACGAATATGTTATTCATTACCCATTTTGCCTATTTATATGAATGTATATGAATGCGAGTTATGAGATGAAATTCTCAAATTCAAGATGAAGAAAAGATTTGTAGTTTTTTCGACGGATTTGCCTGCGGAAGTATTTTTGTAGTCGAGTAAAACGAATCTCAGGACACATTTTTTCAAATGATTTCGTTCACTCCTAAAATCTGAATATCAGAAACACGCGGATCAAATATCTGCTGCAGATTCATAAATATTGTTCATTTCACCACGAACCTCCTTTATGAAACAGATTTTAGCCAATAATAAAACGTACATAGGTACTTTTTATTAGGAATCGAGAACACGTTCTTGGGTGTAATAAAGTATGGGTATATGTTTCCACAAACTTGCTGGATCTTCCTTGAGTTTTTTGACATTTAATTTCAATTGACCTCAAACCAAAATACGTCAGAAGCAGTTCATGGACTGAAGATGTTGAAATATGTTGGAATAAAAATAGTTTGGAATCAGTTTATGTTTTTATTTGAATATTTATCGGTCTTAAAAAAATTGTCTGAGAATTGATCATGTGATGGCTATTAATGAACTCACACGCGGTTTACGACATTGTATGGTATATTAGGTATATCCAAAACCAATTGCAGAATATCCCACACCGTGCGGCGTCGGCGAGTTTGAAGTTCCGTTTGGAGTGAGTGAAGGTGCGGCAAGAAACTCCGCAATTGTTTATCGATAAACTGTTACTCAAAGTTTATGCAAAGTCAGTTAGAAAGACATATCATGGGCGTCGCCCTAGCCCAACAACTAAGTAACCCTTTCCACTCTGATCGCGCACGAGCAGCTCCCCCACCCACCATTAGCGAGATTACCTGTATAAAGGGCCTAGCCGTTACCACCGATACAACAAGGCCAGCAGACTCTGACGTAAACAGCTCGTGACGTCACCAAGAGAGGCCAGTGTTTTATTTTATCGCTTGTCGACTAACGCGTCAGTTCGTGTTAACATCGGTGATTCACGTATGTTTTTGAAACGGTCCCGAATTCTTTTGTTGTTTATTCATCAAAATAATGGGCGGAAAAATTACTGTTTTGTGAAATATTTTGTGTTGTGATCGGTGAAATAGCAATGCCTTCCAAGTGTTGTGTTCCCTTTTGTCGGGGGAATTATGTGGGTGGTTCAAAAGTTCATGCTTTTAGTTTCCCGTTGGACGAGGAGCTATCGAAAATGTGGGTATATGCAATTCACCGCGAGGATTTTACTCCATCTAAGTTCAGTGTAAACAGAGCTTAATTTATAATGATGAATTGATAATAGAAGACAATTACTCTCTCATAAAAAGTATAAGTAGAGGAAAAATAGAAAAGCTTTGATTGTGCAGTTAGTTTTGTATTCGTATATTATAGTCAACAAAATCATCTCTGAATTCGAGGAAATTTTCTTGAATGTTCATAATAAACGGGCATTTTTGATTCTCATTCTCAAATTTCTTTCTGGAAACGGTCATTTGCCTCGTGGCAATGAATGCAGAATTCATTCCAATGATCAAATTGCAACTATCATATTAACATGAACTAAAAACACTCTACTTAAAAAGGTAAAACTGCATTTATCATGATATTTATCATGAAGATATTTGACTAAAAAGTTCCAAATTTCACCATCTTTTTCACCTGTCTTCTGGATGGCATTTAGAACAAATTTCCCTTTTTTTTTATCATATTGGACAATTTATATATAATTCAACTATAAATATGATTTTCTTGAGATTAATCCATATTTAGTGAAAAGAAGGAAGAATACCATTCAAAATAATGGCGTGTGTAATGTCATTCGAAAGCAATCTATTGACATTTGACATCTCGTATTTTGATTGACTATTGATTAAATGGTCGTCATCTGGAATGCTTGTTCACTAAACATGAAAAACTCGCCATTAAAATCATATTCCCTGTTGAATTTTCTATATAAAAATGTAGCTTCAAATGCCCCCAACACAAGGGGAGAAAGAAGGCGAAATTTCGAACTTTCTCTTGAAATATCTCTATAAATAGTGGTTTGTTCACATTTTCATTATAAAATTCGGTTTATCAGACAAAAATACGTGAGTACCGAAAAAAATTTTCCAAAAAAAAAACATCGCATGATAAATGCAGTTTTACCCTCAAAAATTACGGTTTCAAGTGTAACGATCCACTTGGGTGAAAAATCCAACAACAGAAAATTGAAAACACTCACTGGTTAGTTTTTCAGGTAATAGGAATTCTCCAAGATAAATATAGGTGATTGTAACAAACGGCATGTCAATCAAAATGAAATACATTTTCCACAATTTTCTTTCGATCAATCTCACGATAAGTTTATGTTCTGCGGGCCCTGTATAAGTAGGTGTGAAGTTTACTTCCACCACAATTTTTGCGAATATATTTAATTCGAATGGTAGATATTTGTGTTTTATCCTGGTTTTTGCTTTAAAACTTCGTTTTTCCATAATAAAATCGAATGGGGAGCAAAGAAGGGCTCAGTTGACGACTGGCATCCTTTTTTAACCGGAAGCCCTTCAAACAACAGCAAAATCGGCTCAATGATGATCTAAAACTAAAATCGAAATACGCGGTCGCCTTATAGCGCTATAAGCGCTTGTCGTTTCGAGCCGCTGGTTAGGCCTCACTAAGTGACGTCACCCGCGGAGCATGTAGGCCTTGTTTTATCGGTGGTAACGGCCTAGCCCTAGGAGATAGGTCACTGCGACGAACACCTTACATATCCTCTCATATTCCTTGGCTAACACCAGCCACCTCTGCGTCAGTGGAGGGACGTCCAGACATACCCCAACTATGCCTAATACATAATCCCAAATATGATGAAGAAATATGTGTTGTATTGTGATAAACTCAGATGATGAATAAAGAATTTAATACATACTCTAGCCGTTCGATATCTGAAGTAAGCAGTGTCGAGCGCGGTTAGTACTTGGATGGGTGACCATTCGAGGAAACGCCGCGTAAGCCCGTACATCTGTAGCGGAATAGCATATTATAGCTACAGCTACCATACCAATGAGCACAAGATATGGTAACGAATATGCCATCCTTCGGAGGGGACGTTAAGCCGGCGGTCCCGAGGCCATGGATGTTGGACTCGTTAAAGATCCCTACCTCTGGTTGGAACACCAGAGGATTCGGCAAAATTTCCGGTTGGGGTTATAGTGTGCTCACCGACGTCGGTGATTAGCCTCAGTAGCAGAAAAAGGCCGACGTTAAAGAAACAAGTAAAAAAAAAGACATATCATCGCAAGCAGAAAAAGGCCGACGTTAAAGAAACAAGTAAAAAAAAGACATATCATCGCAAGCCGTCTGTCCCTTTGAAAGTTCAGAGACTGCGGCAGCGCGACCCGACACTCGTTGGATGATCTATTCAACTGACCTTGCATAAACTTAAACTCAAACTTGCGGACTATACTTACCACGTATTTGAACGACCCTCACTAAGGAGCTTGGGTTCGTTTTGAAAACGTGAGATTTTGAACATTATTCTATATGAGTTATTATATAGATCATAATACACATTGAGGAAAAACAGTTATTATTGCCTTTCTTTTTTTCATGTTCTATCAATACCAAGAATCAATAATTGAATTGAAATGAATTTTATTATTTGATTACAGAAACCAACAATGAGTTATCCATCAGGTTACCCGTGTCAACAGGTGAGTGGAAGTGAGCTAATTTGATTTTATTTTATCCTTAAGTGGTTGTACATCGAAATATAGTAGATTTTTTACTTTAGAATATTCTGATTTGGGCCAACTTATATGTTTCAATAATATATTAATGATTTGAGAAGGTGTTAGTGATAGTGATAAAATTTAAGAATATATTTTCCGCAATACCTTCGACGTTGTTACCATGGATGACAAAGTTTGAAAGATGGATAAAAAATACTTATACTTCGTGAAATAGTCTGACAAAATTCAACTCTGTTCTGAATATCTACTCATCCATGTCTCTTATTATAACTCAATGGGGTTGTATTACACAATATACCGAGTCCCGCCGATTTAATAGAGACAGTATTGCAATTTACTAAACGGTACGAGATAGAAAGATTGAATTCTACAGAGGTTGCCTAATTTGAACGTCTTCAATACAATCTTTGGCAAGTAGGAAAAATGTCAGCCTTTTCTGAAATATGTCGAAAAAATTTTTCTATTCTATTCATTGGTAGAGAAAGCAAATCTGGCGCCCATAAGAATATCAAAAGTTGCATGATGAATGTATGATAATAATGAAGGAAAAATGTTTGCGACGATCCTAACTACTTTGTCATGATTAATTACCTGGCTACACAATATTTCAAAATCATTCCTCTAATTAACCAAGAAAATTAATAATAATGATAACAATAGATTTTTTTGGCAGCAGGAACGAATAATTTACAACAATTTATATTATTTCGTGGTGAAAAAACCTAACGTACTGTCGTCTTCCGAGAGCATGTCGCATATGGACGGTGTCAGCTCTCTTAATCACCGCTGCAATTAAAGCGCTCATACCGTCCAACCGCGACATGTTCACTGAAGATGAGTGTACATTCCTATCAAAAGGCAGAATTCAGGATCTAACCTTGTCACGTGAGTAACGCAATTAGATCCTGCTCCTCCATTCAACCTGAGGACAATAAATTCGTGCAATTTAATAAAATGGTGAACTAACATGTTTGAACTAACTAATACATATATCTAAATTATGATAGGGGACAATAATAAAAAACAATGCAAAAATAATGAGAAAAAAATAGAACACACTCATTGCAAGATTTAAGGCAATCTGTAAATCTATGCTGTAACCAAGGAAGTCAGATAACAATAATTGTTTTCTGAAGTTAGGCAGTGAAAGTGATTTCATCGTATTAGGGAGTCGATTATATAGCCGGGTAATATTATGAGTAAATGATCCGCTAGTGGTTTTATAGACTGTGGTGGAGAGTTGTTTTTTGAATCTTAGATTCAAGTTGTAAACGTCGGTTGTAAAGCTTATCTTATCATGAAGATAGCTAGGAATCTTGGTAGTAATTATTTGATGGAAGAGAATGCATGGATGAAATATCCGTTGTGACCAGTGGTGGCTCGTGACTTTCATGACAGGGGAGGCTGAATGATATGAGAATAATTGTGAAAAACAACTCTCTACGACTCACCCAAATCGATAGCTTCAATGACATTCTGTTTACCATTTAACCTGAACTTGATACTTGAAGAGATGTGTTCCTGTGATTTTCAGTGTCTATTCAATCCGCGAGGAAAATTTTCAAATCATTATATCCCAATCGCCCCCAACATGATGACTTATCGGTTGAAAATAATACGCAGTACCAACAAAATAGCTTATTCCTTACCTCAGATCCCGTCAACCAGATATATTTTTTATAATTATCGGAATTGAACGAACGATTTTGTTTGTTACCTGTTACGATCAGATTTTATAATTCCGGTGTCGGACGTTTGTTTTTCACAATCAATTTATCTTCACAAAACAAAGCACTGAATGGGTTCACCAAAAAGTATTCAACTGAATCGCAATCGTTTAAAACACTAATTTTTCAGAAATTTTAAGAGCCCCTAACCATTAACCTAACATAAACATAAACAATGCACTCGCGCTGGATTGTCCGCAATTCGCGACGCGACGCGACACGACTAATACGTGCTATTCGGGTGTATTCGGACATTTGTATTGTGCGCGTGGGTTGCGAGTTGTGAAGGAGTCTAGTCTCCTATAGATGATGCCAAGTTGAATATTTCACGCGTGATTTGCAGACTTCAACAGTGATGCGTGAGCAAGCACTGTTGCCAATCCAAAATTATTCACCTAAAAACAGGAAATAGAATCAAAATCCATGTATTTTGGTGTCCTTTTGATGAAAAAGTATAGATAATATCAGTTTGGGGAGAATCTCTGAGGAGGCTCAGCCTCCGTTGTCTCCTCTGAGGAGCCGCCACTGGTTGTGACTCCATTCTCAGCCAGGTTGCTCATATGGTGGGCAACAGATTGTCGCCTCCTGGTCCCTGTTATGAGTCGTACGCACGAGTTCTGTAAGGTCTGTAATCTTCGTCAGATTGGAGTAGGTTAGGGCCATTAACGGTATTTGCATAATTAGCATGGCATAGTACCACGGCATCACAAAGAAGTTTCTTAGATCGTTTTTTCAAGAATTCTCTGTTAGAGTAAATTTTCTTCAGGTTACAGTACCCTCGTTTTAAAATTAGAGAAACATGGGCGGAAACCTGAGGAACTGATCAATTATGAGGCCTAGGTTCTTAGAACATTCTGTCAGGGCGAGAGTTTTATTGTCCAGGTGGATATCTACCTCCTTTTCGCATCTTATTCTCATAGATTTTTGTCCAAAAGGCATGGCAACCATTATGGATGGATTGATTGTAGGGCAATATTTTTCAGATTCAACGAGAAGTGAGTTTAGATCTTCATAAATTTGCTGGCATGCGTCTCTCAGGAAAGCTTCTGGAAATTGTTTGTAGATCTGAGTGTCATCGGCATAGCTGTGGATTTTGGTGTGCAATAGGCACTTACGAAATTGGGACGTATATATTACGAATATTATTGGTCCGAGAATTGACCCCTGGGAAAAGTACCGAGAAAATCTAAAGTCTCACTATCCATAGAAACGCAATGTGTTCTTCTAGTCAGATAATTCCCCAATAAGTCAGTAGAAGGACCCGAATCGAAATCAGAGATTATCAGTTTTTTCAGAATATTTCAGGTACGGCTGACATTTTTAGGTAATTGGTTTGAATTTTGCAATTTTTGTCTAATTTGATCAACTTTCAATTTCTTACGTTTCTCTCTGGGGGTGGCCTAACTCCCTGCAGTTTCAACAATGTATCGGTCTCTTCTTCTTCTGTCAGAGGCCCTTGATCACCCTGATAAGTGCTTCAGTAGAATGTTGCCTGGGATTATCAGCTGGATTTTCTCTGATCCTCGTGAAGCTTCTGCCGCAGCCTTGATCTCGAGGGCGGCTTGCTAGAGCACTGGTGAGGTATTCAGATCGAGTCACGCGAATTGCTTTCAACATTTCAATATCTCGTAATCCATCTGCGAACGTTTGAACAGCTAGACTTCATAAGGGGTTTCGGGACTGACAGATAGACGCAGTGGACCAATCGGGCTACATCCACTTCGAATCCCTGCAGGATTTTGTTGGCTTTCTTTCGATGGGTCTCCATTTGTTCATGGCCATATCGCATGTCGAAGCGTTTGACAAGATGATCGTAGATATCGGTTTCACTTTCAGAATTGTGCTCAAATTGTTCAGGAACGCATGGACCACTTTGAGTATTTGGCTTCTCCCTAGTTGGAAATACGCCAGTCGAGCAACCAGGCACTCCCATTTCTTCTGAATTGGGATCTTGTTTTGAAGTATCTCTTTTCTTGCCAGATAGCGTTAGGCGTTCGGGTTTATTTCGCAGACCTTGGACACCTCATGGGTAGGGTCCTTTGATGAAAATTGACGTTGAAGGCATCTCAACATGGTACGGACAGAGCATAGCTGCATTATTTTTTAATGATCAAGAGACTTTATTTTTATCGACTGGCATCCCTGACGCTACAAAAAAATCATTCAACATTTTAATAATACGTATGTACAGGGTATTTACTTGTTGAGGAAGATCATATGGCGAACGAGTTTTGTAATTATGATCCGATTCTATTCAAAATTGGAAGGTACCTGGGGTTTTCCAGATCTCATTTCTTGTGGTATTCAAATAACCACTGCCCAAAACTGCACTTTTAACATTAGTTTATATAATTATCACTTTACCAAAAATTGAAAATATCTAGGATGCAAGAGTGAGAATAACGTGCCTCTAATATAAGTTATACTTTATACCTTATTCATTGTTACTTTCATCAATGAATTATTCGAAAGTGACTTTTCATTCAAGGGAGACGAAAAAATCATATGTATAACATGGGGGGTGAAGTATATTCTATTCTTCATTTTCCTGCACATTTTACGTATTACTCTTTATCAGCCTACTTTTCGTCCAAGACGAAGTTTTATACATAGTGTGATATTATAGTCACTCACCCACTTCTTATCCTAGTTGGATTTCCGGAGATATCATCACACGAATTGCGAAACAAAGTTACCATGGAGAATGGGGAATTGACTGCAGAACTACGTAATGAATTTGAAAATTTGAGGACGAAACTGAGGAAATTGAGTAAATTGCAACGTGATATACACAGTGTCCAACATAAGGATGACTATCATGGGATTCGTTTCTATTTTTTATGACGTCAATCAAAGAGATATAGGAAAACAAAAGACACTTTCACATTCCTATTTTTGAAGCTCTACAAAATAGCGTTGAGAGATTTTCCGTACGCTGTTTCGTTTCGGAGAAACCATAATCATGATAGATATTCTTATCTACGACTCACTGATGTATATCATTGAATGGCGTTTTCAATACCGACCTTACTAGCTATAGCTATCCATATGTGTCTATTTTGTCATATTGAAATGTTGTTACATTCATTCGTCTTATTTTTATAATTGTTGTTCCGCGAGAAGGGACATATCGCTATAAAACAAAGTGGGTGTTAATACTCTTTTCCTATTTGCCGTCTACGGTTATGATTGATTTGACAGAAGATATTACCTCTCTGTAATCGTATCTTATAAGCAGGCCGCTATAGATCGCGTGCACGATGACTAACACTGGAGTTGAAATATTGAAACACAACCTCACTTTTCTGTAAAACATTGTCAAACACAACCTCACTACGAATCGAGTTTTTGCGCTATCCATAAATTCGAGCATGCCTTCTCATTGTGCTGTTGTACAATGCACAAAAAATGCAGCGAGAGACGAAGGAATATGATTTTTCAGGTAAATACCTAGTGATCTCACATAGCTTTCATAATGAAATTTTGTCATTTCCTATTTAAATTCCTTGTGCCACTTCTGCAATGAAAACTCATACTGCTAATAAATTGAAAATGTCTACAACATACGCACGATCATATTTCATCAGCATTATGTCAGACCAGTTCTCCCGTTTGATAGCCTGAATCCAATTTTCTTGCATTATTTTAGAAATTTCACGAGTATTATTACTATTTTAGCTCCTATTGCAGAAGGAATTTCGATGAAAAATTAGATGAATTACCAAATTTCAAAATGAAAACTATATTATGTGAGTGTCTTAGTACTCTTAGTAGGTACTCACTTTCGAAAAATAACATACCAACCGGAATCCTTCGTCTCCCACTGCATTTTTGTGCACTGTACAACAGCACAATGTGTGAACAAATATGAAAAGTGAGGTTGTGTTTCGTTGTTTCATGCCTCCAGGGTCGGTCATCTGACAGTTCTTGCTTGGTCTCAAAACGAATGAGGCTAACGGTCCTGATGAAATTCCACCCATTGTCCTCAAAAAATGTGCACCAGAATTGACACCGATTCTCTGCAAGTTGTTTACCGTCTCGTACAGGTCGAGTATTTTTCTATCATGCTGGAAGACAGCTAGAGTCCAACCAATCCCTAAAAAAGGAAACAAGAACCTGCCCAACAACTACAGGACCATTGCCCTTTTATCAGTAATCTCCAAAGTGATGGAGAAAGCCATTAACATTGAGCTTATCAAATATCTGGAGAGCTCAGGAATCATCAATGAGAGATCTACTTGCCTACGTCACCCATTTATGGCAAGCCTCATTAAAAAAACACGAGGAATCTCTAGCTGTCGCGCTGGACATATCGAAAGCATTTGACCGTGTTCGCCACGAAGGACTCCTCCACAAACTACCATCATACGGCTTACCACCTCAGCTATGCCATCTCTTATCGAGTTTTCTTTCAGGCAGATCGCTCCATGTGGTGGTGGACGGTGTATCGTCTGATACCATTGGCATCAATTCCGGCGTTCCACAAGGATCAATTTTGGCACCAACATTATTCCTTCTTCATATCAATGATCTGTTGGGAGTAACAACTTGCCCCATCCACAGCTTTGCAGATGATAGTACCCTCCATACTGCGTTTTCTTCCAGAATTCCCATTTCTTCCCAGGAAACAAAGAACTGCGCAGGCAGGTCAATGCTGTCAATGAAGACCTTGCTGAAATCACAGCCTGGGGAACCAACAACCTAGTTGAATTCAACGCCACCAAGACTCCAGCCTGTATTTTCTCTAGGAAGGCGGAACTCATAGTATGCCCGACATTGTTATGTCTGGCACCACCATCTCCACCGAGCCCACCATATCTATGCTCGGTATTTCCATCAGCAACACTCTTTCATGGGATAATCATGTCAGATCCATCGCAAAAGCTGCTTCACAAAAACTCGGATTCTTGTTCCGTGCGAAAAGCTACTTTGGACCTCAACAGCTTCTCATGATCTACAAAGCGCAGATACGGCCTGTTCTAGAATACTGTTCCCACATATGGGATTCAGCACCAAAACATACGCTGATGCTCTTAGATTCCATCCAGGGAAAAGAGCCATCCGCCTGGTGGGTGACGCCACACTCACTCACTCTCTGACATCATTGGAACACCGTAGAAAGGTCGGCGACCTTTCACTTTTCTATCGATACTTCCACGGGATATGTGCTTCGGAAATCTCTGCTATCATCCCTTCACTAGCAATACCAGTCAGACGAACTAGACAAGCCCAGTCAGCACATCCTTTCGTTGTCAACCTCGAAAGATGTCGAACAGCACTTAATCAAAACTCCTTTATCCATAGAACGGCTAGGCTCTGGAATTAATTGCCAGAGGAAGTATTCCCAACAACATATAATCTCCAGAAGTTAAAAAAAATCCAATACCTACCTCCTATCCCTATCCTCCCTAGGAACGCACGATGTTCTTTGAACATTATAGGGATTCCCTTTCGTGCGCTCGAAGCGATAAAAAACTAAAAAAAGCAACCCATTAGGGGAATTGAAACGACGAAGAGCAGAATGTATGTCGTTTTCCCTTCACTTAAGCATTGTAATTTAGAAAATAGAAAAGGACAGAAGTTGAACTGTCTTTGAACTCGTATCTACTGATACCATCCAGTCGTGAATATTATAAAGAGAGTTAAAATAGGTCATAAATCTTGAAACAATGAAGTTTGGGCATTCAATGGCTGATACCCTACAATCAATAACACTTATTCCTTTGATATTCCAGGGGACACCCACCGTTGTTCCCGCTCAAAATCATGACCCTTGTGAAGATGCCGAAAAGATCAAGGTTGCCATGGAAAGTTGGCTAATTAACGATGTCGCTATCACCAGAGTCCTTTCCATGAGGTCCAGGGAACAAAGATTACATATTGCAGCAGTGTTCAAAGTTCTATATGGAAAGGTTGGTATCGAAACTGAAAAGAATATTGAAAATGTTTGAAAAAGTTGATTTTTGTATAAGAAATAGATGGATGTACTGAAACTCAAGTAGTGAAAATACTTCATATTGAAAGGAGTTTAGAAAACTATCGATTTCGCCTACTTTGTAGAAATGACGACGCTTGGGAGAATCTTACTGAAATGACTTTATGATGTGCGTTATATTCTTGACCATCAATGTTGATCATCAATGTTGAATTTATGCAGAACTCGAATCCTCATCCAGAAAAACCTGTGATAATAATTGAAGAGCCAGTGCAAAAACTGCTCAGCTTCTTTTTTCATAATTCGGAAAATCGATAAAAGCTTCGCGGAAACGAAATTTGAGATTTTTTCTCATATGTATAAAATACCACAACTGATACTATTGTGCCGAAAATATTCGGCGATTGTTACGACAGCTAGTTGCCTAATAATTTCTCCGAATTATATTGTTTATCAAAACTTCCGAGCCGTAGGCAAGAAGTTTACGAACAATGTCAGCGAAATTGAAGCAGCAAGCTGGAGTATGTCAATCAACGAATATTTCCAGGAAAAATACTATCACGAGTTGTATTCGCATGAGCAGTATAATCTCTGGCATGAATATTCTATAACTGAGACAGAAAACGAGTGGCTTGCGAGAATTGCGCACACTGCATCCATCATTCTGGCTTCTACGAAAGCGCTGAACGGACATGATACTTTTTTTTTTATAATTGCCAGTTTGATCTGGCAATTAGCTATAATTGCCAGTTTGAACTGGCAATTAGCCATAATAAGGAATACGCATGATTTTTTGTTTAATCGAAATTATATTCCTTCTTCCTTATAATAACACTGGATATCATTCATTAATCTCAAATTTGCTTGTGACTCTGAAAAATTTCATTTAAATGAGGCTAAATATGAAGTCACAGGAGAACGGGTTAGTGGCCATCACTAATATTATGACGTCATAGTATTAGGCCGCACAGCCATAGACTAGCGCGACAGAATGACAATATTCAGATTGAATAAAAAAGAAGAAGAAGAGGTAGGAGAAGAAAACAGTTTTAAACGCCAGAAATTTGAAAATGGAAAATGATAATGTTTATACCAAATACTGCCTAGTGCCGCAATGCCTTTCATCAACAAAAGTATCACCAGGAAAAATATTCCTTTCATTGCCAGTGGGATCGAGTGATAAAAATGAAGAGAAAAGAAAATTATGGTTGCAATCCTCCGAGAAAACCAGAGGATTTGTTTGTGAAGACCATTTCGAAGTGAGTATTCGTTCAAGTATGTCCTAGTGAAACCCATTATATATCAATGATTAGGTATGTTCCTCATGTTTTTAGGAGAATAATATAATATGTGATTTCGTTTTCAGCTTGAAGAAGATATGGAAAACTATATGAGATATAAATTGATAGGTGGTAATATATAGGTATTTGAAACAACATGCAAAAATAAGTCCTGTTTGATTCTTCTTATTGTAAATATTTGCTTATTATTCAGAATATTGAGATCATATAATTGAGATAGATTATAGAAACTACAAGCTCAGATAATCATAACCTCATTTTCTCTTCTAATATTATTTTCAATCTTTCGGACATGAACATGCAGCCATGGTATTCTTCTTCTATACTTTCCCATGAATGTTTGACATGACAAATAAAAACAGCCACATCCAGTCGGAAATCATCGCTGCAGTTCGGCTGTTGGTCTTAAAGTTGCAAATATTATGATTTTCAATAAAAAATTATTAAATATTCGGTGCTTAATAATATTTTTCGGATGTATAACTCGACATCTATACATATGAGTAATGGAACAAAAATATATTACAGTGTGAAATTTTCACACGCGTATACCCTATTGCCAGTTTGAACTGGCATTTAGCCATAATTGCCAGTTTGAACTGGCATTTAGTGCTTTCGTACGAAAGTATACCACGCAAATGTAATGTCACAGTTCAAGCAATGACAGCTCTGTCTAATAGATGCGCATTACTTGAGAGGAAATCAGATGGCTACAAGACGAAGAAATCAAAAATGTCGCTGTTATCTGTCACAGTCGTAGAAAAATTATGGTGTATAACTCGCAGGGAATGCTAATTTCCCACTCGAATGATTGCAGCATTATTCGCCTACGGCTCAGGCTGCAAATTTCATTCTCGGGGAAAATCACTATCATTCCGTCCTCAGTCCACTCGCCCTTTCACTAGATGGCGATAACATGACTAGATTCTTTCGTACGGAAGCGCTAAATGCCAGTTCAAACTGGCAATTATAGCTAAATGCCAGTTCAAACTGGCAATTATGGCTGATTGCCAGTTCAAACTGGCAATTATGGCTAATTGCCAGTTTAAACTGGCAATTATAGCTAAATGCCAGTTCAAACTGGCAATTATGGCTAATTGCCAGATCAAACTGGCAATTATGGCTAATTGCCAGTTCAAACTGGCAATTATAGCTAAATGCCAATTCAAACTGCCAATTATAGCTAAATGCCAGTTCAAACTGGCAATTATGGCTAATTGCCAGTTCAAACTGGCAATTATGGCTAATTGTCAGATCAAACTGGCAATTATGGCTAATTGCCAGATCAAACTGGCAATTATGGCTAATTGCCAGTTCAAACTGGCAATTATAGCTAAATGCCAGTTCAAACTGGCAATTATAAAAAAAAGTATCATGTCCGTTCAGCGCTTTCGTAGTGCTTCCGACATTATTGACGTTTGAAACGTCCAAAATTTCATCACTTATAATTACACGATACCTTTTTTTTTGTTGAAGTAAACTTGACATATATTAATAAGAACTTTGTTGCCTGGCAATTTGACGGAAAAAACTGCCTCTGAAAAGATGAATTTTTTCTGTCAGTTTTTTGAGTTTAATTACCTAATGACAACAAAATTCGAATTATAAATGCCAAGTTTACTTCGACTAAAAAAAAGCTAGAGTGTAATTCGGTAAGACAATTTAATTCGTTAAACATTTTGTTTATGGTTGGTTGTCATGCTTTCAAAAGTTATGTTCCGTTATTGTCGCTAAAAAAGTTAGGGCAAACTTTTTTCGCTGTCATAATAACAAAATCACGCGACTTGTGAGATTTTTCATATATGAATCAAATTGTCGCTGGAAAACGAGGAAGGTTGGTCACGTGTAGGTCAATTCGGCTTCTGTATTGGTAGAGCTAGGGTTCCTTGATGTAAATTGACGTATTTGTCATCTTAACAGGGTACGAACAGATCCTCGTCTCCTCTCACTCTAAAGTGTTTGTGAAACAGTTATATAGTTCCATCTTTATTCATTTCTGGGGATAAACACAAAATTTCTGAAATTTGTTGTTTTTAGGTTATATTGAGGATATTGGCGTATCATACGTAATTTCCACATGTAATTTCTCATTAAAGTACAGTTACATGTCATGACATCCACTGTCAACTAGTAATGTTTCGTAACGTTTGGTGGCAAATTTGAACTTCTGCAGATTCATTCCAAGCATTGATTGACATATAAACTCCTAGGTCATTTATTATTGAATAAAACATTGCACTTACATGGAGTAATTCGATAAGTTAATCCTGAACTGTATGAAAACTGAAATTAACTGATAATGTCTCACCAACAAAAATATTTTCCTGTTGACATTTTTGCAATTATTGTGAAAAAGGGTGGAAGTATCTATTAACAAATATTCATAACGACTTATCAATCACGGAAACTCAGTAAATGAGCTACAAGAGAACGGCCCCATTTCGACCACTTTTCCCATGTTAATCGCCATAAGAAAAGTTAAGGTCCATTCTGGTCCTTTCTTACGCTTTCAAGGTCATCCGTCTCCGACGAGTGAGAACGGCGATTCTGGTGCTGCAGACCTCTGAACGCTCTCAAATAGGATTGTTCGATGGGCCCTAAGGGGAGTATACCTCAACTAGGGCCAGATAGTGAATATTATGTACGAAAATCAAGTATTGAAGGGCCTCAAGGGCCAAGTAGTGAATATTATGCCAACTATAGGTTGTTGTATATCAAATGAAAGGTCTCTGCTCGAAATTTACGAAAATCAATTTTTGAAGGGCCTCAAGTGCCATATAGTGAATATTATGCCAACTATAGGTTGTTGTATATCAAATGAAAGGTCTCTGCTTGAAATTTACGATAATCAATTTTTGAAGGGCATCAAGGGCCATATAGTGAATATTATGCCAACTATAGGTTGTTGTATATCAAATGAAAGGTCTCTGCTTGGAATTTACGAAAATCAACTTTTGAAGGGCCTCAAGGGCCATATAGTGAATATTATGCCAACTATAGGTTGTTGTATATCAAATGAAAGGTCTCTGCTTGGAATTTACGAAAATCAACTTTTGAAGGGCCTCAAGGGCCGAGTAGTGAATATTATGCCAACTATAGGTTGTTGTATATCAAATGAAAGGTCTCTGCTTGAAATTTACGAAAATCAATTTTTGAAGGGCCTCAAGGGCCATATAGTGAATATTATGCCAACTATAGGTTGTTGTATATCAAATGAAAGGTCTCTGCTTGAAATTTACGAAAATCAATTTTTGAAGGGCATCAAGGGCCATATAGTGAATATTATGCCAACTAAAGGTTGTTGTATATCAAATGAAAGGTCTCTGCTTGGAATTTACGAAAATCAACTTTTGAAGGGCCTCAAGGGCCATATAGTGAATATTATGCCAACTATAGGTTGTTGTATATCAAATGAAAGGTCTCTGCTTGGAATTTACGAAAATCAACTTTTGAAGGGCCTCAAGGGCCATATAGTGAATATTATGCCAACTATAGCTTGTTACCTATCAAATTGAAGGTCTCTGCTTGGAATTTACGAAAATCAACTTTTGAAGGGCCTCAAGAGCCATATAATGAATATTATGCCAACTATAGGTTGTTGTATATCAAATGGAAGGTCTCTGCTTGAAATTTACGAAAATCAATTCTTGAAGGGCCTCAAGGGCCATGTAGTGAA